ATTATAGTTGCTCCTGGCAGCGAATCTTTATGCTAGAGGAAAATGGTCGGATGGACTTAGAGTAAACGATATAGCATTACTGTGCTTTACCTCCGCATATGCCTTCCCTCTCTGGTACCCTCTATCTGAAAACCACACTATACCAACATCTAACCCACAAAAGGCTCTGTTATCAAAAGACCGCGCGCTGTTCTAATCACCCTCCTCCCCCTCTACGGTTCGACATACATCGATATGTAGTCCAATCTCCCTATAAGTGTACGCCTGATGTCGGAAATTGGTACCCTTACAGGGCGCTTAATATTTTATAGCAAGTGTCACTTTGCAATTTATGCTAAAAGACCCAATAAGGACCGAGAAGTCGAATTCTTATAGGGCGGTTATTCTTATAAGAGTTGCCCTTATATATATAGAGAGAGATTCGACTATACCCCTAATGTACAGGCCGTTAGTAGCTCGTTAGTAGCTCGTTATTGCCTGATATAATCTTGAGTTCGTATAAGATCTTGTTAAACTCCGAAACAATTCTATTCGGTATGATGGATCGCAATGGCTTTGACTGACCTAGAGCTGGCAATCAGGGACTTCATACAATACCATGCTGCTGACGTCTCCTCTTCCTGGGCACCCAGTGCTGAGGGCTGGTGTTCGGGCAAAATCAGTGACTTCGCTATAGTACAGTGCCCTCCAATTTATGGAAAGGTTGAAGGAAAGACTATCCGCAAGTACCGAGGTTAGTATCCTCTTCCATGTCAAATAGAAGGAGGTTCCAAAAACCGACGTGTACAAAAGTTAATGTTGAGTAAAATGAGGCTTAGTAGCACGTTTCCGAGAGAAGGGCTCGGGGGCTCGAGGTGAGTAGATTAAGGTGTTAGATCATCCGTGGCCACCATTTTACCATCTTTATAAGGCAGGAGTAAGGCCAGTCGCAAATCGGAAACAAAATCGATTAGCTATAGAAGGCGTGCGAGCACTCTGAAAAACATGCAGCCGGTCATAGTCATAATTGACAACGACAATCTTAAACCCGTCAGTAAGAATACCGGACGGAACTATTCAAAGATAAATGATAAAGTCCCAGTCAGACATGGAAATAAAATCCATTCTGAAGGTTTCCTCAATAGTACTAGCTCTGATATATGTAGCTTGCCAACAGTCGATACATAAGTACAGCCACTCTGCAAAAGTGTTCGTGATTCTGATTTCGGAGTGAGACATTTCTTCATACTCCCATTTCACAACAACCGCTATTGCACGCCGCCATACAAAACCCGCCAAGCCACATTCCTATATGGTATGCAATAGCGGTTGTGTTCGAAATGGGGAGTACATGTATGGCTCGAGAAGCTATGGTGGGTAGGAGTGTAAACTTCGGGGTTTGCAGCAAATCAATCGGAGATCTACCCCCCATAGTGGTACCGCGGCGGGTAATAAGTCATCGTACAACGTAGCCACAGTTTTGCGTATTTCAGTGTCGCTCCGTCCGATGACTGATTACCCACCGCTGTACTAGCGCCTAGCCTAACGGTGGAATTTTCTCCAATTCCCATACAAAAAGAGTTCCTCTAAAGTTGACACACCCACCCCCCTATGCCTTCTCGCGCCATATGTAACCGTGGCAGACCATCAAACCCCCGAAATCAATAAAGGAGGAGATTAATAACCTACTTTTAATATATAGAGTCACGAACTGTATTATATATTTTTCGTTGTTTTGAATCTCAACTAAATCAGAACACTTTTGCAGCGTGGCTGTATGTAACGTCATTCATTCTACGGCAGCATATGTACATGTACTGACTGAACTCTCCTACAAATGTGTTCAGCTCCTTCCATAACCATAAATACATTTTGCGGCAGACGGTTCTAGACTAGCGCTACGGGTGGGATTTGATATGGTACATGCATGTATTGTACCTACATGTAGTTGGTAACATAAATGAAATTGAATGTAGGAAGTATACATGCATCTCCTATTCGCTATACTATACTGCATGTATACACGCCGAATTCACCCTTACCTTAACACGAAGGCTATATTAGTGTACAATCACATATTCTCACTCGCACGTAATGATAATTGCAACAAGAAATTCTGCACCCGTCATTGGCCCAGAGAATACATGCATGGATTCAATTACCGCTACTCATTCTCCTCGATTGAAGAAAGCGTTGCCAATGGAAAGATCACCAGTGTTTGTTCCACTTCCTGTTCACGGTCACCCCTTTGTCCGTTTCCAATCGCTTCAGTAACCACAAACAACACGCTTTGATGTGTCACAGCTTTCCACATCAGTTAGATCTGGCCACTGAGACCCAGCCACACACACCTCCCAAAAGGAAGACACCAAGGCCCAGCTTGGGTAAACCCCACGAGCTTTTTTTGATCCGCATGTTACCAAATCCTTACCCCACACAATGATACATGCTGTCACCACAACCATCATCACTGCCTACGATGCTGCCACCGCTTACTTCACCTCCTCATCGCGCCGACATCTCACTTCACTCGCGACCCCCCAACCAACTATGAAGCTCCGCAGCAAAAAATGGAATTTTGTCACGTTTCTTACGGTCACGGCTCTGCTCCCGCTAGCTACAGCCTATGAGCTTGCTATTGATGATATAGGTAGTTCTCTCCCCTCCCCCCCCCCCCTCCTCCCCCCTCGGCTCACAGCTTGTTTGTTTGTTGATGCTAAGACAGTTTCTGCCACAAGGGTCGGTTAACTATGTTGCACAGCGAGTCGCATACAAGATGATGCAATACTATCCAGGCAACCGCACTGGCGGCATCCCGGGCCTTTTCGGGGACCCTTACTACTGGTGGGAGTCGGGTGCGGTTTTTGGCGTAAGTAATCAAGTACATGGTAATTTAGTAGTAACGGAATAGAGCTCTAATAATTAGTACTGCAGGGGCTGGTCGATTACTGGTATTACACTGGCGACGCCGGGTATAATCCCGTTGTCACAGAAGCTCTGTTGCACCAGATTGGCCCTGATTGGGATTACATGCCCCCGAATCAGTCGAAATCACTTGTAATCCACATTCCATCCCTTCGCACTTGTATATTCTGACTCGGATGTTAGGGAAACGATGATCAATGTTTCTGGGGCCTGACCGTGATCTCGGCCGCCGAGAAGAACTTTCCAGACCCTCCAAAGGATAAAGCACAATGGCTCGCGCTTGCACAAGCGGTATTCAATACACAAGCTCCACGCTGGGATGTGAACACATGTGGTGGTGGCCTTAGGTGGCAGATCTACACCTTCAATAACGGGTATTCGTACAAGAACACCATCTCAAACGGATGTTTCTTCCAACTCGCCGCAAGACTCGCAAGGTACACTGGTAACCAGACATATGCAGACTGGGCTGTGAAAGCGTATGACTGGACGCTTGAATCAGGCCTTTCGACCGTCGATTATCGCTTCTTCGATGGCTCTGACACGCAGGGCAACTGCACTTCTATAAATTACGTGCAATGGTCCTATAACGCAGGGACATACCTAGCAGGGGCAGCGTATATGTATAACTATGTAGGATCCCCCCCAACTATTAGCACTGATATAATACATCACCTGCTTCATACACCTCTAACACTTCTAGACTGACGGCGATCCCCTCTGGCGCGCTCGGGTCGATGGCATCCTAGACATGTCCAACCGCATCTTCTTCACGCAACCCGCCAAAGGTCCCGCCGACATCATGATCGAGCAAGCCTGCGAGCGTATCCTGACCTGCAACATTGACCAACGCTCCTTCAAGGCCTACTTCGCCCGCTTCTTAGGTCTCACGGTCAAAATGGCGCCCTATACTGCGCCTCTCATCATCCCCAAGCTTCGCACCTCCGCCGTGGCCGCCGCGCGCCACTGCTCATGGGGTACCGACTCCAACTCTTGTGGCATGAAATGGTACGAGAACGACTGGGACGGGATGTATGGTGTCGGAGAACAACTCTCCGCTCTAGAGGTGATCCAAAATACCCTAATTCATGATGTGGGAATCCCAGTCACCGAGAATGATGGGGGCACGAGTAAAGGAGATCCATCCGCGGGAAGTCAGGGCGGCCCCAATAGAGGGAGAGTGCAGCAGGAAGGTCAAAAGTTACTAGAGAATATAGGGCGCAAGGACAAGATCCTGGCATGGGCGTCGACAGGAATTATGATCCTGGTGACTGCTGTCTTTGGCTATTGGATTTACTGATGATAGTAGACTAGCTAGCTATTAGAGGACCTTTTGTTTTTATTTGTATCTTTATAACTCCATTGCCTATTTCTGTAGGAACGTGGCAACTATATGTATTATGACAGTTATTGGCTAGTCACGTACTTGGGTACGTACACACCCAGTTTTAGTATTTCTGGAGCTCCGGGAATATGTAAAAAATAAATTTGTTTTTTTAGATATGGCAATATTGGTGATATTGCAGATCAGAAATTGATCAGCACCCTTCAGGCAATAACTAGCCGAATCATCAAATCTACACGCCGAAAAAGAGGGCCTCTAACCCACCTACACCTACCTAACTAAAGAGCCCACCCGTACCTTATATATAGCCCACATGCCATTTTCAGGATATCTGTCTTGTGTTTTGTCCACCCGGCACCATGATCATTACCAAGTTCCTAAAAGAGTTTAACTCCGTTGCAGCGAGTGATGGATAGTGATTGCAATCCTGGCTAGTATTTATAGGAGCCTGTATTCCCTGACCGCCGTGTGATATAGTTACTGTGTCTCTTCCAAGCATGGATGAATACAAATGTTAATACCACGAAGATATGAGTAATGGGATGGTAACTAATGATGATGCTGATGTGACGGCAATGATATTGGTTGGTTGGGTAATGGTGGTAGCTAGGGCGCGGAGTGTCACTTGGTGCTTTGTTACGAAACCATACCGTCATAAAAAAAAAGTGTATATATCAATATTTTTAGCTAAAACATTCTATAGCCGGGCTTCGGCGATAGTGTGTTAGTTGGAGTTGTGGGGAAAAAGAAAGGCTCCGGGAAGGATTTGAACCTCCATCCTCTCATCAGGATTTTTCGCACACTCGCGCAGGCTGAAGTGGATTGTATCTACGGACGAGTGTGTTACCACTACACTACCGGAGCTGCGAGACAAGGCGTCTTTTTATTGGTTTTAAGGTCGTGACCCTAGCCAGCGTAGTTGTAGCTACATTTAGGGCGAGGGAAAGCCGGTGGGATGTCACACTCTTCTTGCACAGGTACTTGTACTAATATTGCTCGAGCAAAGAAATGGATTCAGAAACAAGCAGCATTTCGATTGGCTGTAGGCAAAATTGATGGGTTATTGCGCATGTAACGTGTTTCGGAAAGTAATCAAGGGTGACAACGGGATGATCCAAAGTTGCTGAAGAAAGTTGAATTTATATACAGTTACAGAACCAAGTAGCCAGAAGTGTTATTTAGATGTCTCCCAACTATTTTTGACATGATTTACCTCTATCTAGCGAGAGTCTTGTTTCAGAAAGGTCGTTGACTAGTTAAGGAGTGTAAGCTTTATCGACTTTACCAAATTTTGGTTTATATTCATTATATAACTCCAGGATTCGGAAAATATACACTGAACCCTCTTATATGTGCCTGCCTTCATATATTGTGGTTTGATACCCACAACCTCTTTTTGTGAGGTTCGGTTGCTTTCCCGGTGAAATACGCTAACTATGAATACCTGTAGCCCGACATCGTGTAATTCTTCTTGATATAGACAAGATCTATGGAGCGAAACATCGCCATCTCAACTACATATGTATACTTATGCATGTAGATATACTACAAGTATCGAGCGAGAAGAAGAAGTTCTCAAACTCTGAAAACAAAAAAGCAGGCCCAGTCCCACAAATTCGCGAGCCTTCCCTTGTTACCAACAAGTAACTGGAAAGCCACTTTTAGAAACGAAGAAATCTACACCAGGCCTCCTCTTTCCTCTTTTCTCTATCTCTAGTTTCCCACGAGGGCCATGATCTTCTCCCGGGAAACTGGCGCTGTGGTCTTTTCTAGACCTCTCTATTCCGCCTCTTCTACAGCTTTGGACTATCCCCGGCACACACGAGAAAATGCCACTTCTATCTATCACCTCCCGGCCTTTCTAACCCCCCCCCCCCCCTCATCCCATTCTACCTACTTCTCTTTTTTTTTAAAAAAAGAGTGACTAGGCGCCTATTGATCCTTGTTTTATAGCGAGAGATCGAAAGGGAGAAACCTCTCCCACTTTAGTCTTTCTCGGTTCCTATCCTGGTTTTTCCTTGGGGGGCGGGTTTTTTTGTCTGTGGTAAGCTTCCCCCCCTTTTTTTTTAAAGTCAAGTGAATTGATTCTAGGTACAATCATGGCATAAAGTTAATACTATGGCCTAGGTGAGCTTCCACCTCCTCCCCCTTTGATTATATGCCACACACCCCGCGATAATAACTAGCATATCAACAGATCTTTCAGAAGAACACAACCGTCAATACAAAGTCCCTCAATCAGTCAAGGTGTTTTCCCAGTCATTGTGGGCCATTCTCGAGGTCAGTAAATACGAGTGATACTCCATGATTATCCCTGAGCAGTAACCGGGTATGCACACACAGGAATCGCAATTCGTCGTCAAGGTAGTCCAGACCTTATCTATCTCATAGCCCACGAACGAGATTCTTAAAGGATTTATTCCTTAAAAACATATGGAACCCCCCCCCCCCCCCCGCGCGCGCTCACTCCCTCCCTTCACCACTGAGGTTGCTTATAGCGATATTTTACCGTCCGGCGCACCCAGGAGTTATCCCCCTTGTTGAGAAAACGGGGGCCGTTTCAGACACCAAGTGGTACCGCAGTATAGAATTAAGAGGCACTAGTCAGCCTAGTGAATAGTCTCCGCAATGTACCTAAGATCGATTGCTTCGTTCTTTCTAAACCTGCTCTCTTTTCTAACGCATACATAGCGCAAACGCAACCCGCAACCGCAAATTCGTTATACGCCTACTACCCCCCGCCACATGCAATGCAAATTGATAAACGACAAAAAGCCCGCCCATGCCAGCCAATCGCAAATCGCTATAGCCAACTCATTGGCTAAATAAGAAATAGAGAAAAGTTACATACATCGAGTCATAACAGTAAAAAGAAAAAGCAAAGCTAAGAATCCTAAGCTTCCAAAAATTCCCACAGAAAATCTGGTTCCAGGTATCCATGGTGTATGATGTTAACCAAATAATATGTCATTGTGATTTCAGAGATCAGCTTCGATGATGCTGTCCGAGAAGGGTAGACTCGTCCCCATTCACTCCAGATGCTGAATGCTTCGTCCTGATTCACAATTCGTGAGCATTAATTTTTCGTATAATGGGATCTCTAGTATATCAAACCTTCCAAGCCTTGAAAGAAACCTCTTCTATGATTGTTGGAGTAATGATCCTAAATTGTAAAGAGGCAACGGTTAATAACCTTTATTGGAATTGTGAAATGAGAAATCCCGTACTCTTTGCCTGGAAATACACCCCAGGTCACTGCGTGCAGAGAATCTTCGCCTATGGGCACGTTGGATTGATAATCCCCCTGAAAAGAAACAACTCCATCAGCAAAGATTCTCAATTTACTCAGAGATATAAACTCACATTCTTATTTGCAGCGTAATAGGACATATCTTCCAGCTTGTCCAGTTTTTCTTTCAATGCTGTCCAATCGTCTGGAGAACAGAAGAACTCGACAAACGCCTTCTGGAATACAAATCCACCTTTTGGGCCCCATCCGAACAATTCATCCGTACTCTTCGCTGCATTGACTGCAGGTTGGGAGGCAACGGTCCATCGTCCCTTGGTATTTAGCTTTATCAGATGCTCCTGAATAACCTTACTCTCAGAGCTAAGCTCCTGCTCACTCCATGGGATGGCTTCCAATTCACCCCTTATGTGCTTCACAAAAAGAGCAGAGATATCGTCTAAGGTTACAGGGTATGACCAGAGCTTGACCGCTTGTGCTTGAGAGAGATGTAGTGATGGACCGTATCCATCAATTTCACCAAAGGCAGGGGATCTTGCGTTGCCAAAACGACCATTAGGGTAATCATCCCAAGTTGCTTCCCGGCCGAGTGAACCTTCACCTTCGGAGATAGCAAGGGCTACTTCCGGTGGTCTATTTTGCTCGGGAGGCTTCAAGAAACCTGCTTCTGATGCGAAGGCGTGCCCATATGATTCAGTTATACCTGAATCCGAGTCGATGATCACACGATTATGGGGATCCGAAGTGACGGATGAGGATCTTCGGTCGCGACGATTATTGCCATTAGTTATTGGGCCATCAATCTCCTCGAAAACCGATTCTTCGGGTGCAGGAATTAGGTTGGTCCGCTCGAGTACGAAAGAAACAGCTTTCTCGAGGTTTAATGTGTAGAAATGGAAGCCTCTTAACTGTGTTGACTCGGTAGATTTGATTTTCTCAATAATTTCCGAGACAATGTTTACACCTTCTAGTTTGACACCTTCATCATCACCTTTGACGTCTTCAAGCCTTATTAAAAGGTCTGGAGGTATTGATGCGCCACTGAGTTTGGAGATTCTCTTTAGCATCTGGAAGCTCTGAATAGGCATCATCCCCGGAATAATAAGCAGATCCCTGAAGACTCCCGAGGGCTCGTCTCGCAACAACCTCTCGAATGATAAGTACTTATCGACATCGTAAAAGAGCTGTGTCATAATGAAGTCTGCTCCAGCCTTGACTTTCTCAACTAAAAATGGAATATCAAATCCAACATCCTGTCGTTCAGGGCAAGCCCCTTCGATGTGTCCCTCGGGATACGCCGCCACACCAATGCAAAAGTAGTCTCCGTGTTGCTCACGGATATACTTGACCAAGTCAGCTGCATATTCAAACTCTATCCCTGAAGTGCCGTTTGCCGTAGCGTCGCTTGATGTGTTTGAATATTCCTCATTGCGTGGCGGGTCTCCACGCAACGCAAGAATATTCCTGATGCCAATTTCCTTCGCAGCTTCTAGGGTCTCATCAATAATGGCCTGCGACATGTTCGTACAGGTCAAATGAAGGCATGTGGTTAGCTCGAGTTGTCGTTGGCAAAGCTCAGCGAGCTGCAGTGATTTTGTTGCCGTTGAACCACCGGCGCCCCAGGTAACATTAACGAAGAGGGGTCGAAGAGCGCGGGCCATTCTTCTAAGACGAGCTTCGAGGTTGTCGAACCCCTGGGAATTGAGTGAAATTAGCTATGTCACCTCTGTCATGACTTGAACGCATTACGAACCATAGATGTCTTTGGGGGAAAGAATTCGAGGCTGTGGAAAGGCTCGCCTGGTCGCAGTGCGGCGACTTTATCGGTAATTTTCAACATCCCGAATTATTAGGCTTTAGACCGTTCGATTCGAATAATGTAGAATATTTGTATCGAGATGTAGCCCTGAAGTGAGTTTTCAACTCCAGTTGAGGTTGCTGGGTGTCGATAGCTCTTTAAAGGTGGAACGGCAAGTGGTATCACGGGTCAATGCGGAGCGTGTGACACCGAGCGGGCCCTACTACTAGTAGTTAGCTGAACTGAAACCCTCCAGCCCCAACCCTAACGCTATGAGTACCTGTAATTAAGGCCCTCCTCTGAAAGCCATCCTTTCAGATGGATATGTTCCCCAGGTCCTCAAATAAGATGACAGCAAATATAGCAGAGCATGATACCAAGACTTTACGAGCCAAAACTTTAATTTAGGTCAACCATCAATACTCGTAGCTTCATAGCGTTTCCGAACACGACCAATATTGCATGACATACACAAAAAAGCGCCAAATAACCTTTTTGTATGGTATGCAATATTGGCCGTGTTCGGAAACGCTATCAAGCTACGAGTACTATTCGCCGCCCGCGGTTCCCGCAACTAGCCGTCTCGAGCTCATTATTACATCAATTTTGCTACCCACAACTAGCAATTCTGCAACCAGCATGATTTTTCAGATGGTTGGCCTAAAGTTTCCAATACGAGTGTTGCCCGCCTGTCACCGCCCCAAGAAATTGTAAGAATAGAGCGTATTTGCCAACCGTCAATTTCAACTATTGACACTTCAAAATTGACAGTTCCCCTCAGTGACCAAAATAGATCTGGTTAGCGGTATGACAGAATAA